TTCTAATCTCTTATACAAGCTGAAGGCCATGTAAGTAACTGCTTGGACAAAAATGTGAACAAATACTTTGCTGAGCAATGTACAGTATATTTGATAGATCTAGATTCATTTTTTAAAATGGTTTAAGAATATGATGCTACAGGACAGGGTCTTAGTCACACATACATGCAGCATCCTCCCAAAACCTCCTGTCATAGCCAAACATTAGGGCATTCTTACAAGCAAAGCTCCACCACTTCCTGAATTGGGTGAAAGTAAGCTCGCCTCCTCAAATTTCAGCCTTTTACCCCCTTTTCCCAGTTACAGAGCCTGTTTAAACCAGATACAAATGATGCTCTGTTTACAAAATGGGAAAGCAATGAAAGACATTGCACAGAAAAATAGCACTAATCTCTTTGTTTAAAGGAGAACTATGGTGTTAGGGCTTTTCCCCATAGTTCTCCTTAGGGTAACGGGAGGACACAAAGGCGGGTGCAATGCTAGTTTACTATTGGCTATTGCAGATTGAAATATGGTTTCAGCACCACGGAGAGTTCTTATGGCCAAATGTACCTGCTGTGTAAAAACTTTACAGCTACTGTACATATGAGATTCGATGGCTGTACATTCGATGGCTGTGCATGAGATTCGATATCCGCTGCACAAATATCTTATTGGAAAAAAGGTGAATGTGACTGTTGGATTGCTGCCAAATGGTGTCAAATCTTACGTCATTAAAAGATTCACTTGGCAAATTTTTCAGCGAATCCTTCAGAAAGAGACCCCTTGTACACGTGATTCTTGAACTTGATAGCAAAGTTAAACTTTTGGAATATTTAATATAACACTGATATTTACAAATGGTATCTTAAACTTTGTTATTTCTGTAGCGTCTCAGTAAAATAAAATATTTGTTATCAAAACAAGAAATATAAAAAATCTTCCAAAGTCACATTTATACAATTCATGTATACAATGTATTTGTTAATTTCAAAAATCTATCATTTGAATTAAAAAAATTATGATAAAATATTTAGCTTTCGTGAATGGGTAGGATAGAGAATCTTCTAAACATATACTGTGAAGAACTGCAATGAGCTCAAAATTCACAGGAACTCTAGGATTACTTCTGCTACTGAAAAGGCCAAACACACAAACATTCTAATTGTTGGGATGAGCTATACTAATTAGCACACATTATTGGAAAACACAAACAAAGGCCGCAAAGAACAAAACAATAATGGATCAGGAGGCTTGCCAAATACAGGAGCCGCAAACACAAAATCTATCTTAGTACCAAGATCAGTATCACAGGAAGAGTCAGGCAGGTGGGATAATAACGATCAGGACAGATTTTCTAATCTCTTATACAAGCTGAAGGCCATGTAAGTAACTGCTTGGACAAAAATGTGAACAAATACTTTGCTGAGCAATGTACAGTATATTTGATAGATCTAGATTCATTTTTTAAAATGGTTTAAGAATATGATGCTACAGGACAGGGTCTTAGTCACACATACATGCAGCATCCTCCCAAAACCTCCTGTCATAGCCAAACATTAGGGCATTCTTACAAGCAAAGCTCCACCACTTCCTGAATTGGGTGAAAGTAAGCTCGCCTCCTCAAATTTCAGCCTTTTACCCCCTTTTCCCAGTTACAGAGCCTGTTTAAACCAGATACAAATGATGCTCTGTTTACAAAATGGGAAAGCAATGAAAGACATTGCACAGAAAAATAGCACTAATCTCTTTGTTTAAAGGAGAACTATGGTGTTAGGGCTTTTCCCCATAGTTCTCCTTAGGGTAACGGGAGGACACAAAGGCGGGTGCAATGCTAGTTTACTATTGGCTATTGCAGATTGAAATAGCCAATAGGAATCTAGCAATGCAATCCTATGGGCAAAAATGATTTTTTTTCTCTATTCTGACATCGCTCTGTGTCAGAATAAAGGAAAAAAAAGAAAAATCAGTGTTTTTCTCCTGGGTGGCCGGGAGTGGGAGACTCCCAGAGCGCCCGGGAGAGTTTTTTTCTTTTTTTGACGGCAGCAGAACCGCCATCCAATAGAAAACTATTAGGCGGAGCTAGCTGTCATTGCTAGCTCCGACCAATCATTTTCTATTTTTTTTTCTACTTTTTAAACTATTTTTCTGTTCTGCTCTGTTCCTCTGAGGAACAGAGCTTCACATCTCCTGCACTTCGGGTCGGCGGAACATGCTGAGCATGTCCGGCCGACCCGAAGCCACGTGAAGCCACCCGATGTATGGCTGATTCAACCGATATACTGCTGAAATCAGCCGTACCAACCTGAAGTGAATAGCCGAACAGCGTTCGGCTCACTTCACTTCAGGTCGGTCTTTCACTCGGCTGCCTACGGCAGCTTAGTAAATAGACCCCTTAGTGATCAGTGTTTGTAAATAATTGAGGACCTAGTATGTTTACTGTGTCCTCAATTATGAATGAATGGGAAGTGATCTACATCACTTCCTGTTCATTCATGATTGTGGATACAGTAAACATATGTTCACTATATCACAAGTTATGAATGAACAGGAACACTCAGTTTAGTGGAATTATGTTAATTTATAACAGGGGATGCAGAATAAGAGATTTTTCTATTTTAAAAGGGAAATATCAGGGGTCTGTTTAGACCCCTAATATTTCACTGAAGCCCTTAAAAGTAAAATAAATATATTTAATAAAAATAAATAAATAAATAAAA